TTTCTCCCTGGTTCCTTCCGAATTGCCCCCCCCAGGCCCCCCTCCGGGGTCCTGAGGAGAAGCCGGTTCAGGAGCCGATGCAAGGAGCTCAGGATAGGGGTGGATGAATCAGATTGAGCTCGGATTCAGAGTCATCGCCTTACCCGGACGGGAGGTTGGCTGCTAGCGAGTCGCCATCTTAACCGGAAGTTCCGTTTGTTAAACTGGAATTCATTTAAATATCGAAACGCAAAAAACGAATCGAGTTTAGAAACAAATTTTTCCGTGGTTGCCCAGCCCTATAAAATTGTGCACTTCTTCTCAGACTTCTAAAACATGGTTGGGTAGGGTGTAATGAAAGGTCATGGAGTTGGGCCAACTCTATCTGCCCTCAAGAAAAAAGTGCCCTAAAACATAACTATAGCCTTTGCAAGGGATTCACATCTGCAACATGCCAGGTTTATGTTCTCTTGGCTTCCTACCAGTGTTTTTGCTATCTACACAAAACGTTTATCTTTATGATAGGAAACACTTGTTTCTTCCCCATGAAATGGAAGCCAGGCAAGTCTGATTCTGAAGCCAACAAGATTGTTTCCCCCCACTCCTCCAAGGCTGGTTATAAATTCAATTCATGATTTATATATATTAAGCCCACATTCAACAATTTTGTCCTATTTTCCTAAGCTCTTTTTTCCATATGGAGATGACAAGGATAAATAACACCTTGGCTAAATAACACATGCAAAGATCTATCAGTCTCCACACAGGAGCCCCCAGTGGTGCAGTGGGTTAAACCCTTGTGCTGGCAGGACTGAAGACCAACAGGTCGCAGGTTCAAATCCGGGGAGAGCGTAGATGAGCTCCCTCTGTCAGCTCCAGCTCCTCATATGGGAACATGAGAGAAGCCTCCCACAAAGGTGGTAAAACATCAAAAACATCTGGGCATCCCCTGGGCAACGTCCTTGCAGACGGGCAATTCCCTCACATCAGAAACGACTTGCAGTTTCTCAAGTCGCTCCTTACATGAAAAAAAAAAGTCTCCATACAGAATCCTCCTGGTAACAACAGTCAATTCACATGAACCAGGAAAATAAACTGTAGTTGAAAGTTTCAAAGATAGTTTACCTTTCTAATGGGACTCCTAGGCCCCTTCTACACAGCTGTATAAAATCCAGATTATTTGCTTTGAACTGGATTATATGGCAGTGTAGACTCAGATAATCCAGTTCAAAGCAGATAATGTGGATTATCTGCCTTGATATTCTGGATTATATGGCCGTGTAGAAGGGCCCCTAGAGAGGTATACWAATTTTCTATTCAAATAAGTGCTAAATGTTTTMMGMTTTMTTTTTTTTTTTTGTAAAGGGTTAGGGTTAGAGCATTCTGAACTTCACCAACAATTGAATTGAACCAAGCTTGGCAAACCCAATTCCCACGARCAACAGAAAATACTGGAAGGGTTTGGTGGYCATTGACCTTGAGTTTTGAGTTGTAGTTCACCTACATCCAGAGAGCACTGTGGACCCAAACAAGGATGGATCTGYACCAAACTTGACATGAATACTCAATATGCCCTAATGTGATCACTGGTGGAGTTTGGTGAAACTAGACCTTGACATTTGGGAGTTGTAGTTGCTGGGATTTATAGTTCACCAACAATCAAAGAGCATTCTGAACCCAACCAATGATAGAATTGGGCCAAATTTCCCACACAGAACCCRCAGGATTTGRTGTCTGTTTCCAAAAAGGAAGAGAAGGACAGATGGAGAGATCTRCAGCCTTCTCTGCCAAAGGGYMTTCTAAGACCATCAGAAATATGTGTTGTCTGATGGTCTTTGGCAACCCCTCCGAAACCCCCTTGCAARTCCTCTAGGTGTTCCAACTCCCAGGTTGAGAAATGCTGCTATAGAGTAAGGCCTCTTCTACACTGCCATATATTCCAGATTATCAAATCAGATGATCCACATTTTCTGCTTTGAACTGGATTAGATGAGTCTACACTGACATCCAGGTCAAAGCGGATAATCTGGATTTTATATGGCAGTGTAAAGGAGCCTAAGGCTATAAAGAAGATTCTAATATATCTAATATAGAAGATTCTAATATATATATATAGTTTAAATGGGTTTTTTTTATATTGACAAACCTTACCAAGAACAATCCTAGGTAGGTGAGACTTTATCCTAATTCTACATATAAAATGTTAATAGAAGAGTTGCACAGTAAGAAGCATTTTCTGCACAAAAAAGTTTTCTACAAAAAAAACACTGAAATTGTGTATTGTTTGCAGAAAATGCTGATATTTTTGCACAAAGGTGCATTTTTGCTGAATACAATTTCCTACGTTATTGCCACAATAGATCCGAGGCAACTTCAAGAAACTTTACATTAATAATAAAGACAATTCTGGACAAGGGATGATGGGAAACCTTTTCTTTCTCCTTCAGCCTGAAAGACCCAGGAAAGGTTGAAAGAGGGTAGATGTAAACAAGTCAGACGAATGCTATTAGCTAATATCCTTCTTGAAAATTTTGTTAAACCACCAGTATTAACTTTGAATTTCCTGGCTTTGTCAATCAGTAGGCAATGTGTAAATTAGCTTATATTCTACTCTAAGTAAAGGTAAAAGTTTTCCCCTTGACATTAAGTCTAGTTGTGTCCAACTCTAGAGGGTCGTGCTCATTTCAATTTCTAAGCCAAAGAGCTGGCGTTGTGCGCAGACACCTCCTAGGTCATGTGTTCAGCATGACTGCATAGAATGCCATTACCTTCCTGTCAAGGCGGTACCTATTGTATGTTTTTGAACTGCTAGGTTGGCAGAAGCTGGGGCTAACAGCGGGAGCTCACCTTGCTCCCTGGATTTGAACCACCGACCTTTCGGTCAGCAATTTCAGCAGCTCAGCGGTTTAACCCACTGTACCACCAGGACATTCTATTCAACTCAAATATATTTTCCTCTGCCGCTGAATATGACACTTTAATCCTGCTTGCAGTGAAAGTGCTATAAATAACTCCAGCATTTCGGAGACCTCAGGAAGCCAAATGCTGCTTTCCACCCCCTAAGGCGTGTCGAAGCGTCTCCCTCCGGGTGTTTATCAACAACCTTACATTCAGAGCAGGTGAAACCTCTTCTTAAAAAGAGATAAAAGTCACATGAGACATGACAGCTGCCAAATTTTCTTCATGACCGCCTGGTGATACACAAACATCAGGGGCCACTTTCAAGGAAGGCAACTCTTGCGAGAAACTGCCGGCAATTTTACGTTGAGTGCTTTATGACTTCCGTTTTTTGTTTCCTGTCCAGTAAAATGGGCTGTTGGAATGGTCTGAGCCACAAGGAGGAAGGATTTGATCAAGAAGGTACAGGGACTTTGGGGAGGGAGCTGGGATGAGATATTTTGCCTCCCAGGGAGGGAGATAAGGTGGTGCCCCAACTCCCTTTCCATTTACAGAAGCTGTCAAGACTGGCGTGTTGAATCTGACTTCAACACTAGTCACAAGAGAGGGTTTTTTATTCCTTCAGTGCACTTGAGGGCAGCAAGTTGACATGTCCAGAAGGTTTGTATTATGTGTGTGTGTCTTGAGAGAGGGAAAGAGTAGACTGGAGCACATACAGCTCTCCTCTTCCATATAAGGAACTGTCCAGGGCAAAAGGGAGGTGGGTGAGGAGCACTACCAGTGCTTCCCACAACCTGCTGGTGTTTATCATTGAGGCAATCAACTCTCTCTGCCTAACAGCAGGGCAAGTCCCTGGATAGCAGTAGGATATGCACCAGGGACCACAAAAACATAAATTTGCCTGGTAAAGGGTTTACATCCTATACTCCAACTGCCCAATTTTGGCAGGAAGAATATGTTCTTCCATCCTAACTACTTTTAAAATGTTCCACTTTCTCTTCCCTCCACCCACTTTACACTTTATCCTTGGCTTACACCAGTTGCTGCAAACTAAGGGTCCGTCCAGACAGTACTTTTATCCCAGGAGCTTCCACAGCAAACAGGAAAGTGGTCAGACGTTGTTCCCTGTAAGCAATCACTACAAAAGGCAAGAAACATGAGATTTCCAGGTACAGGAATATCATAGTTTTAAGCCGAATATCCATATCTTTGGATGTCTGTATGTCCCTGCATTCGGAAATCACAGAATTTTTTTATCTAGGTTCGTTCCCGGGGTTTTAGATGTTTGTTCCTGATTGGTTGGTTCCTAAAAAGAAGGTGACACTTGACTAGAAGTGAGACAGGGCCTTCTCAGTGGTGACCCCTCGGCTATGGAACCCCCTTTCTGGGGACATTAGATTGGCCCCCTCCCTCTTAACATTTTGGAAAAGAGTCAAGACTTGGTTGTTTGAGCAAGCATTTGAAAATGCAAGGTAAAAGACATAGGAATTGGGACGATGGAACGACGAGATGTGACAATGTTTTTTTTATTAAGAGACCCAAATTATTTTATTTAACTGTTTTGTATTGATTATGGTTATTGCTTTTGTTTGTTGATGTGCTGTGGGCTTAGCCTCATGTAAGCTGCACCGAGTCCCTTGGGGAGATGGTAGCGGGGTACAAATAAAGTTTTATTATTATTATATTATTATTATTATCTATGTTTAAATATTCTTGTTATGGTTTTATATTATGTGTTAATGTTTTTGAATGTTTTATGGTGTTTTTGGGCATCGAATTGTTGCCATTGTAAACTGCCCTGAGTCGCCTGACGGCTGAGAAGGGTGGTATACAAATACAGTAAAGAAATAATAATAAATAAATAGAAGGCAAACATTTTGTTTGTGTGCCGGAAACTTCATCAAGCGTGTAGAGGACATGTTTTTTTTTTTCTGTCCAGGACAAAGTTATGGCCCCTTAATCCATGTTGTATATCTTTTTACAAGAAAAGCAATCTGGAGCAACCACATATAACCCAGAAACAGCACCCTGTTGTTTGATGCCACAAGTACACAACCAAATCTGTCTGGATAGATGGCCAGGCAGGAAGGCTCTAAAAAGTGTCAATAATGACAAAATTCTGTTCCTGCCTTGAAAGTGTGTGTTCCTGTTTGATTGTGTAGTGCTGACTGAGGCAGAAGTGGTCCTACCCTGTAAACTTTGTTTGTGTGGCAGATACTAGGGCTGGGCGGTTTCGTTTCGTTAATTCGTAATTCGTTAATAATTCGTTAATTTTTTCAATTACAAAATGATAACGAACCATTCTGGAGCAATTATTAAAAAAACGAATTTTCAAAAACGTTTTGTAAATGCTTCGTATTTCAATATTGTATTCGTTTCGTTATTGTTTTGAGGTCGTTTCGTTATTATTTCCGCATGTCTGGGCCAGTTTTATGGTTTAATTAGTGAAAAAAATATAATATCACACCAACAGTCAACAACAGAGGGAGAGGAAAGCTTCAGAAGGTTTTGGAGGTTTTTTAGCGTATTTCGCGGTCGCGTCCGCCATTAAGGAATCGATTCGTTATTGTTTCGGAAATCGATTCGTTAATTTTTTACCATTTACGAAATTTCGTAAATATCGAACTTTTTAAAAGGAAAATTTTGTAATTATTTTAAATATCGAAACAAAAAAAAACCCCAAATACAAATCGATTTTAGAAACAAATTTTTCCGTTGTTACCCAGGCCTAGCAGATACTTCATGAAATGTCTAGAAGGCACAGTTTCTCCAACCAGGACAAAGAACAGAACTTTTTGCAATAACGCGCTGCAGTGATTCTCCACATATCCGCATCTTGCGTTTTTAAAAAACTGCCAAAGTTTCTGGTAGCTATCTTGGGAGCCTCTAAATCTTGCAACAAAGCATCAATTTTGGATAACAGAGGCAGAAATCCTGGGACCAACAGGTCTGTATGTGGACCTCTTCCGAAGACCTGGGATTTTTTGCTCCTGTCTAAAACCTGTAATTTAGTGCTGTTTGGAAGCGCCCTAAGGGTCCTTCCATACAGCCATATAACCCAGAATATCAAGGCAGATAATCCACAATATCTGCTTTGAATTGGGTTATCTGAGTCCGCACTGCCATATATCTCAGGTCAAAGCAGATGATGTGGGATTTTATTCAGCTGTATGGAAGATGTCTAAGATAAATGTGGAAAGGAGTTTAGAAACTCAGTATCAGGCAGAGGACAGGAAAGGGACAGACATTTGCCTGGATGTTAACATCCTCACAAAATCCGAGGTACATCCATACTGCAGAGTGAATGTAGTTTGACCCTACTTGTAACTGCCATGGCTCGATGCTGTGCAATCCTGGGTGCTGATGTTTGGTGATGCACCAGAACTCTTTAGCAGATAATCTATATAAATAAAAATGTAATGTTCGTTTGTGATACCATCAGAACTCAAAAACCACTGGGGGAATTGACACCAAATTTGGACACAAGACACCTAACAACCCAAAGTATGTCCTCCACTCAAAAAAACTGATTTTGTCATTTGGGAATTGTCGTTGCTGGGATTTATAGTTTACCTACAAGCAAAGAGCATTGTGAACTCCACCAATGATGGAATAGGGCCAAACTTAGCACACAGGGCTCCCATGACCAACAGAAAAAACTGGAAGGGTTTGGTGGACATTGACCTTGAGTTTGGGAATTGTAGTTCACCCGCATCCAGAGAGCACTGTGGACTCAAATAATGATGGATCTGGACTAAACTAGGCACGAATATTCCATATACCCAAATATGAACACAGATGGAGTTTAAAGGAAATAGACCTTGACATTTGGGAGTTGTAGTTGCTGGGATTTATAGTTCACCTACAATCAAAGTGCATGCTGAACCTCACCAAAGAGAGAATTGGGGCAAACTTCCCACACAGAACCCCCATACTTAGGGCCATCCAGTCCAACTCTCTTCGCCAGCGCAAGAAAACATAATCAAAGTCCTCCTGACAAAGAACCAGCCAGCCATAGATATAGATAGATAGATATGATTCACACACAGAGAGATATAGTAGCATAGATTTGAAAGGGACCCCTAAAGAAGGACAATGATATGCTGCATGTTCCAGAGTAGGCAAACCGGACAATCTCCACATCAACACTGACAAAGAAACAAGAAATACTGTTTACCCACAGGCATAAAGACATTACATATATCGGAAACCAACACTTTCTAATTACTTTATTTTCCAGATCAATAGACTGGGCCACAGCAACGCGTGGCAGGGGACTGCTAGTGCCTTATAAAGCTATAGTTCCCATGAGCCATGGCAATTAAAGTGGGGTCAAACTGCATCAATTCTACAGTGTAGATGCACCCATAGTTTTCATCTGTGAAATACTGGAGAGTTCTCTGCATTTTTGTTCAACTGGAGGAAATAATCCTTATATATTTGCAAGTTTGGTTATGTGTTTAGCTTGCCTACACAATACTTCTCTGCAAAATTGGACTTCCCCCTTTTTCAGTATTTTCGGTTTTCATATAATTTACGCCAGAATAAACATGCAATCCTTGGTCACGAGGTTCACAGAGGGTTACGTTTTTCTCATGCTTGTCAAGTGCTGACTAATCCTATTCAAATTTACTGCATGGAATTTCCCTTCCTACATGCAAAGGATTCTGAAGGACATTCTCTTTCGGTTATACATACTTGTCAGTGCATGGTATTCACTTCCAAGTGGAAAACCTTAATGGCCTGAAGCACAACAGAGCCCTTTTAAAAGAAATGCATTAATTTGATGTACTGTGGGACCTAGCCTCATATTTTTTCCCCTGGTGCATGTGGTTGAATCACCATTTCCCAGCAAGGGGGGACCCAAGATATTTGGTCACCTGAGGCAGAGAACCAAATTGCAAAATGGCAGTACAAAGTTGCAAAGAGCTAAATACAACCCCACTGCAAGTACAGAGGGTGAGTACCTCAGTATCCTTTCTCTGAATCTTTTTCTTCATTGTTTGTTATGAGTTAATGTTCTTCAAAGCACCTAAAAGCAGTAAGTTAGCTTATAGGGTGGAAGTAAATCTATAGGGAAGGTGCACAAATACCGCTCACAGGTTGCTTGGGGATACAGAGACTTTTTAAGACACCTGAATAATTCCAAATAGCACGTGTAATGCACAGATATCTATTCCAAATTGCCCCTATGGGTAGGGGTATTTTTTTTTGTACATTTGGCAATTTTAGACCAAAGAGTGTCCTTTCTTTTTAAAAAAGAAGGTAAACAGGAAATGACTTCTGGTTACTTCCTATTACTAAACTGAAAGCCTCTGCTGGAGCTCAAGAAGTCCTGGGATGTCAAATAATGGGGAACAGGATCCAGGATAATCCATTTACTGGTCAATGTGGAACTTTTTTTTTTGTTTACAAAAGATGAAGTGGTGGGCATCGCCAAGATCTTCTTCAGGGATTTATTTATTTATCATGTCAGAAGCAAATTGAGGGTACAGTTATAATGTGTGTGCATTTTTTTTAAAAAAAAACACACACAAACAAAGTTTAAAACTTTGCATTATACTAGATTTTCTTTGACCAGAAGCTGGCCACTTGGAGTGCCTCTGGTGTCGCTGTGAGAAGGTCCTCCATTGTGCATGTGGCAGGGCTCAGGCTGCATTGTAGTAAGTGGTCTGTGGTTTGCTCTTCTCCACACTCGCATGTCGTGGACTCCACTTTGTAGCCCCCTTTCTTAAGGTTAGCTCTGCATCTTGTGGTCCCAGTGCAGTCTGTTCAGCACCTTCCAAGTCGCTGAGTCCTCTGTGTGCCCAGGAGGGGGTTTCTCATCCAGTATCAGCCATGGATTGAGGTTCCAGGTTTTAGCCTGCCACTTTTGGACTCTTGTTTGCTGAGATGTTCCTGCAAGTATCTCTGTATGTCATAGAAAGCTGTTTCTTCATTTAAGGAATTGGCCTGCTGACTAATATCCAAACAGAGGGTGGGCCAGAGATATCAATGCCTTGATTCTTTCATTATTGGCTGCTACTTTGCGACAGATGTCAGGTGGTGCAATACTGGCTAAACAGTATCATTTCTCCAATGGTGTAGCATGTAGACTTCCTGTGATAATGCAGCATGTCTCATTAAGAGCCACAGTTGCTGTTTTAATGTGAGGAGATGTATTCCACATTGGGCATGCATATTCACAGCAGAATAGCAAAGCGCAAGGGCTGATGTCTTCATTGTGTCTAGTTGTGATCCCCAGGTTGTGCCAGTATGCTTTTGTATGATATTATTTCTAGCACCCACTTTTTGCTTGATATCCAAGCAGTGCTTCTTGTAAGTCAGAGCACGGTCCAGAGTAACTCTCTGGTATTTTGTTGTGGTGCAATGCTCTAGTGGGATACCTTACCTGGTAATCGTCAGGGCTTGAGATGCTTGTCTGTTCTTAAGATGAAAAGCACATGTCTGCATTTTAGATGGATTAGGAATCAGCTGGTTTCCCCTGTAATAGACAGTAAGAGCACCTAAAGCTTTAGAGAGCTTCTGTTCAAACATTTCAAAGCTTCCTGCTTGAGTGGTGACAGAATGATTGTCAGCATAGATGAAAATCTCTGTCACTTCTGGCAGTGACTGGTCATTTGTGTAAATGTTAAACATTGATGGAGCAAGCACACTCCCCCCCGAAGCAGGCCATTCTTCTTTGTAGACGACTGATTCTCTCACACCAAAAGCGACTTGCAGTACTTCAGTGATTATAAGACATCACTTTTCTACAGTTGCATACCATACTCCAGGATTTTCTCTCTTGTAGGGATGAGAATCTTCATTTATTTCCTTATTGCACACACAAAAGGAACGTTTCAGTTTATTCTGTGCTGAGAATATTATAAGCATTTTTTCTTATGGATTTTTCCCCTCTTATGTATTTATGTTCTGTTGCGCGCTGGGCCTGTAACAGCTGTACTTTTCTATAGGACATATACTTTAAGCCCAGCGGGAAGCCAGGGGCGCCTCAAAGAGAGGTTCTCAGGGATTTTTCTGAAGTGATGGTCTTTAGAGTCTTTGATGATACAACAAAGTCTTTATTATGGAACAAACAACAAATCTTCAATGGTTCAAACAACACTTCAAGACTTTCTTAGTCTAGTTCCTCAATGGACTGATACCTGACTTTAATTAACTGTACTTTCTCTGTAGGAAAAACCCCTTTTTAACCTCTCCCAGGCTGTTTACTATCTATGCCTCATCGGTGTGGGTCCTACTACCGATTCCAAATGTGTCTGGGTATCGAGTAGACCTACCATCCGAGGCTTGTAGATATTTCAGAGTTCCGTGGATCTGTAGTGCTGTCCTCCCTCAGATATTTCTTTGAAAACTTCAGGGCTGTTTTCCCTCTGATTGCTGTGAGGCTGAGAGGCTGTGAGCTCTCAGCCAGAGCCTTGGGATCTTTTCCCTGGAATTTCCATTTCTGTTTCCCCAGATGTTCTTGGGAAAAGAAGCTTTTCTATGGGACGAGCTGGTCTACGTCCTATAGTTTAGCTTCCTTATGAGAGACTGCCCAAAAAATGGCTCCTTTCCCTCCCAGAGCCCTGAACAAGGCGCGGAACCAAAGCTTAATTATGATGGACAGGAGGCCTGTTCTATGACAGCAAACAGATAACAGAAAGAAAATAAAGTTGGAGCTCCTGGTACAGCCGTATCAGCACACTTTGTCATGAGTAGGGATTTTTTTGCACAGAAAATGTGTGTGTGTGTTGTATCAACAATTTTGACAAAAAAGTCCCTCAATATTTTTGACCAAAACCAACAACATTTTTGCACAACAGCCAATGTTTTTTGCTATTGCTGATGGCTCTGATGTCAAAAAAGAAAACCATGAAGTTGAAAAATATTAGAGCAATGATCAGGGTGAATTTTCTCCCCAATGGAGTAACTCAAAATATTAAATCCGGATCTCATAGAAAATTACTTTTTATTTTGTTAATAGAGTTGAAATGTTATTGCCTGGATTTCACGACTCTCTGGGCTTGTCTACATGGGCATGAAAACCCAGATTCACCCTAAATTGGCCCCTGGCTGTCCTCACGACATTGCTGCATGCCTGGTGAGTATCATGAGTTATACTGTGTTTAAACAGCTGTGCCCCACACCAGGGTAGAGTTGAAGTATCCTGTGACTCCGGAACAGTCCAGACAGTTGGACTGTGGGCCAATCTGCTTTCTGGAAGGGACCCCAGACTTATACTGACTTAACCAGGATATCATCATCACCTCCTTTTCCCTACAATCATCAGTGCAGGGAAAGAGCAATGGATCATGTCCAAGTTGCCACTGCTGCTTCTTGCTGGCTGCAGAGCTTTGTATGAGCTCCTGGCCATCATGAGTGCCTTATTCTGACTTCAAAAGAGGAGGGATTATCTGCCTTCTTTTTCCTGGCATGTGGGCACCTCTGCTGATGTCAGAATGGAGTCCTCATGATGGTCTGGAGGTCACATAGTTCTCTGCAGCTGGCTGGAAGTGAAGATAGTCTCAGGAGAGGATTAGAGAGGATGATCCCTGCCAAATCAGACCAATTGCAAGATATGCAAGCTTCCTATGCCAGTCTGTTTCCTAATAATAATAATAATAATAATAATAATAATAATGTGTTGTCGAAAGTTTTCATGGCTGGAACCATTGGGTTGCTGTGAGTTTTTCAGACTGTATGGCCATGTTCCAGCAGCATTCTCTCCTGATGTTTCACCTGCATCTGTGGCTGGCATCTTCAGAGGTTTTGTTGGCAGTGAAGCAAATGGAGAGTGTATACTAGTATGTATATATTGGTAGGTTACATACCTGTGACCATCTTTCTTCGAGTGGTGCTCTGCGCACATGGGGGTTCTGTGTGTGAGGTTTGGCCCAATTCTATCGCTGGTGCGGTTCAGAATGCTCTTGATTGTAGGTGAACTATAAATCCCAGTAACTACAAATCCCAAATGACAAGATCTATTTTCCCCCAAACTCCACCAGTGTTCACATTTGGGCATATTGAGTATTTGTGTAGAGTTTGGTCCAGATCCATCATTGTTTGAGTCCACAGTGATCTCTGGATGTAGGTGAACTCCAAAACCAAAGGACACTGCCCATCAAACCCTTCCAGTATTTTCTGTTGGTCATGGCAGAACTGTGTGCCAAGTTTGGTTCAATTCCATCGTTGGTGAGGTTAAGAATGTTCTTTGATTGTAGGTGAACTATAAATGGTTGTTAGGTCTCTTTCACCCTTCATCTTTTTGTGGTCACTTCAGGCCATAGAATTTGCTTCATTGAAGTTTTAGACCTGGGCCTTCGATTGGACATCTCACATCAGCAGCAGCATGAATACTCTCTTGGTACTGTTCCTCTGCACTCTGCTTCCAACTTTGGGTAAGATCTCATTGATAACTGACTTAAAGTGGGTTCAGTTATTAAATGCTGTTATGTCCCCTCCCCCAGTCTCCATAGTCATATATTAACATTCAAAAAAAGCCATATGGTTATGCCGATGTTATTGGAAGACTAGTACAAGTATCAAGAGACAGGCACAGAATTAGCTTCCAATGGAGAAAAGGAGTTGTAAGTTTTACTTTCGTTTTGAGTCTTCAAACATTCAAGCTCTTTTGGAGCCAAACATTAGGAGAAATCCATTTAATTCAACCAGAAATCATTCCATTCTGTTTCTTAACATGATATGATTTTAAAGAAAAAACAATACATACTTTATACATATTTTATGATGGTATGTCTTCTTCAAAGAACTGTGGAAGAAGAAGAGACGTGGAAGGTGATACATCCTGCTTCACACATCAACTGAGAACATGTTGTTCCATGAGTGTAGCTATTAGCTAGCTGGAGGGAAGAAGGGCAAAATGAAGTCATTGCATCCCCATATATGTATATATTTAAAAATCACTTGTAGGTAG